CGGCGGAGCTTGTTATGGGGCCACGATCCTCGTGAGGGGTGTGCCGAGATCAGCGGGGGCACGCATGCAAACCCTGCCGCTGGGGCCTTCTGTGGAGCTCCTTATGGGGCCGCGATCCTCGTGAGGGGTGTGCCAAAAAAGGCTGGGGGACGCATGCAAACCCTGCCGCTGGGGCCTTCGGTGGAGCTTGTTATGGGGCCACGATCCTCGTGAGGGGTGTGCAGAAATCAGCGGGGGCACGCATGCAAACCCCGCCGCTGGGGCCTTCGGTGGAGCCCCCTATGGGGCCACGATCCTGGTGAGGGGTGTGCCGACATGGTGGACATGCGGCGAGCAGAAGCAGGAATGGGAGGAGGGAGGAGGGGGAGGGGGGAGGGGGCAGCGGGACGGAAGGAAGGAACGCGGGGCGCTGTCTCTTCAGGACGGTTGGGAAGAAGCCTGCTTCCAAACCCTGTTTTTTTATGGCAGCAGGCTCGACTTCCCAATACACGCAGCTCATTTCGGGCGGTTTCGTCTGCTCTCGGCGGCTTTCCACATTGGGCAGCTGCACCCCGCCGAGAGCGCTCCGGGTGTGCACGGAGCGTCCCGTACGGCCGCCGAAGAGCCGAGCGATGGCCCGAAAGCCACGGGAGACGCGGATGGGCTCAGGAGACGTGCGGCGACAACAGCGACGACGACGACGACGACGACGACGACGACGACGACGACGACAGCGACCACGACGATGACGACGACGACGATGACGACGACGACCACGACGACGACGACGACGACGACGACGACGACGACGAGGACGAGGACGAGGACGAGGACGAGGACGACGACGAGGACGAGGTCGTCATCCTCCTCCTCAGCATCATGCTCCTGCTCTTGCCTCTGCTCCTACTCCTCCTCCTCCTCCTCCTCCTCCTCCTCGTCCTCCTCCTCGTTCTCCTCTTCCTCCTTCTCCTCCGCCTCCTCCTCCTCCTCCTCCCCTCCTCCTCCTCCTCCTCCTCCTCCTCCCCTCCTCCTCCTCGGTGCCCCCCGCCCCCCCTCGTTCTCGTCCTCGTCGTGCTTCCCTCTCCTGCCATTCATTACAGCATCGTTGATGCATCTTGAGTTTACTCGGATCCTCCGCCTCATCATCCCTCTCCCCCCGGATCGCTCCAAGAGTAGAAGAAGAAAAAGCCAAAGAAACATAAACTGTTGGCGCTCCGCGCGGATTTCTTGGGTCCGCGCTGGGCCCTTGGAGGAGGAGGAGGCGGAGGAGGAGGAGGAGGAGGACGGCGACGACGACGACGACGAAGAGGGAGCGCGCTCCTTGATCATGGACAGGATCGCCAGGATGCCCGTACTCTCGGCGGTCTTGCCCGCGTACGGCGAGTCCCAGGTCGTGGGCGGAGGCGGCGGTGCCTCTCCAAGGCGAGAGGTCCGCGCGCTGGCGTCGGCGCCGTCGCCGTCGTCGATGGAGGAGGAGGAGAAGGAGGAGGAGGAGGGAAAGGTGGAGGGGGCGGGAGCAAGAGGAGGGGGAGGGGGGAGGGGGGGGGGAGGGGGGAGGGAGGCGAAAGGAGAAGGATCAGGAAGAGGGGCCGGTGCAAACCAAAAGCGCAGTAACGATGTTGCAATGAACCCTCCTTCCAAAGTTTGCCATTCACAAGCCCTTACAAGAACCTATCTGCGATGCGGGAAGTGGCCCATTAGAACAGAAGCGTCTCAGAATCCTCCATTGTACCAAAGCGCATGTCCTGGGACTTCACCGCCGCGGATCAACATGACTGATGCGCCCTGACAGACCGAAGTTTTACCAGAATACTTTACCTGGGAGCTCTTAACTGCAAATCAACGTGACTGTTGCGCCCTATCTATCCAAAACTGTGCCAGAACGCCATTCATGGGCCTTCAACCATACGAACCCTTAAAACTGTCGCACACTTGTCAGACGAATCTGCGTGGCACTGAAACGAGAGCCACATGTTGAAAAGGAACCGCCCTCCACCCTTGAAACTGCTGCACGTTTTTCTATAGCGAATGCACGCGGCGCTAATCGAAAGCCACATGTTGAAAACCACCTGTCCTCCAACTGTGAAGCTGTTGTCAACTCTTTGGACGAATGTACACGGCGCTGAAGCGAGATCCCCAGGTTGAAAAGGACCTGCCCTCCACCCTTCACCGCGAAGCTGTTGCAAACTTGTGGGACGAATGTGCACGGCGCTATAGCGACAGCCAAGGTTTGAAAACCACCCGCCCTCCATCTATGAAGCTGTTGGAAAACGCAAGCTTCAAAATCATAAATGGTGAGGGCGTCTCAAGCGAAACGCCCAGCCAGCCCCAACAACACGTCTGGGGGTGCGACAGTACGGGATTGTGCATAAAGAAGGGATGGAGGAGGGATGACATGAGGAGAAGGAGGGGAGAGGAGAAGGGGGGAAAACGGCCAAGAAGGTAGAGGGCGTAGCAGGAAAACCAAAGGAGGAGGGAGGGAGGGGAGGGGGGATGGATGGAGGGAGGGAGGAAAAGCAGCAGCAGCAGGAGGCAAGAGGAGAGCGCGGAACAGGAGCAGGAGCAGAAGAAGGAGAGGATCAGGATGTCTTTGAAACAAAAACTAGACAACCCCGTCATCCTCATCATCATCACCACCATAATCATCAGCATCATCAGCATCATCAGCATCATCATCATCCGCATCATCATCATCATCAGCAGCATCGTCATCATCGTCAGCATCATCATCATCATCATCATCATTATCATCATCATCATCATCATCATCATCATCATCATCATCGTCATCGTCATCGTCATCGTCATCATCATCATCATCGGCAGCAGCAGCAGCATCAGCAACAGCATCATCAGCATCATCAGCATCATCAGCAGCATCATTATTATCATCATCATCAGCATCATCATCCTCAGCAGCAGCATCATCATCAGCATCAGCATCATCAGCATCATCAGCAGCATCATCATTAGCATCATCATTAGCATCATCATTAGCATCAGCATTATCATCATCATCACCATCATCACCACCATCATCATCCTGGAAGGAGGAAAAGTGAAAAGTGTTGAGGTTCTCTGCAGCCTATTGGCTTTGCGGCGCTCTGAGAAGCACTCGGAGGTTCCAAGGAGCTGCTGGAGCAAGACGAGGAGGAGGAAGAAGAAGAAGAAGAGGAGGAGGAGAAGGAGGAGGAAGAGGAGAGGAACAACAGCAACAGCACCAAGAGCAGCAGGACATGGAGCAGGGGCTGGAGCGGGAGCAGGAAGAGGGCGGCCAGGCTGAAGAGGAAAGGAAGGGAGGCAAGAATTCGCCATATAAGATGGGCGGCTGTGGCAGAACGTCGTGTGCCGACTGTTCGGCCTGATCCTCTCTCGCTCTCCTCGTCCCTCCCGCCCCAGCATTCATTTCTTCCATTCGGATCGCGCAAGAGAAGCGGAAGAAGTTGCCAGGCATTGTGATGGAACGTACCACTAGTCGCGCGCGCTTCGAACTACTCCCAGTGCACTGAGACGCATTGATCACCTACGCCAGGCGATAAGGAAGTCCTACGACCGCCTGTGCCGAAAGGTGCTCGGCGCAACGCTCCAGGAGAACATTTGAGGAGCGACATGAGGAAAGAAAGGGCCAGCGAGAGGCCTTGCGCACCAGCAGGGGGCTATCCAAGACAGGATCTCAGCCGCGGCCACCGACAGAGCGGGAAGACGAGACCCGCAGAGCCCTCTGCTCTCTGCGGCCTCCACGAGGAGCAGAAACTGGGAAGTCCGGCAAGCCAGGAGCCCACGCGGCAGGATGGAGCGCGTTTCTTTATTTTCGTCTATTATGAACACTATAGGGGGGGGGAGGGGCCAGGGGGGGGGTATAATGTAACGCCTCCCCCCCGCCGTGCGCACGGCGGCAGTGCCCGGAGCGCACTAGAGGGGGAGGGGCGTTACGTCATAGGGGGCGGCCGGGGAAGGGGGCCGGGGGCTATACAGTAATGCCCATGATACCCCAGGCAGAACAGAAACGCGCTCATGCACACTCAAGCCTGCGGAGGCCGCTTGCTGGACGCGCGCGCGGAGGGCCGAAACGCCCAGCCGCACACCAGCCGAGCGCTGCAGAGAGAGACACGTGGCCGTGCGCGCCTCATGCTCTCGCACATGCTTGTAACTGGCTGAGGACTCTTCCTCGCCCTCCTCATCCTCCTCCTCCTCCTCCTCCTCCTCCTAGTCCTCCTCCTCCTCCTCCTCCTTCTCCTCATCCTCCCCCTCCCCTGGGGAGCACAGACGGCCATCCTTGGGTTCGGGCGGAGCGGAACTTAGAAGTTCGAGTTAGAATGCCGAGGAAGGCAAGAGTTCGAACAAGAGTCAAAAAGTTCAGGGTTGGTTCGAAAAGAAAACAAGTGTGTCGACAGAGTTTGGAACAGATTAGGAACTTTGAGAATTTAGAGAAACAAATTGAACCACGTTCAAAAGTTTGGTCACGTTTGGGAAAGCGTAGAACAACTCTGGAAACGGTTTGGAACATGTTTGGAGAAAGTTCGAAACCGATTCGGGAGTTCAAGAACAGCTCAAACGCACTCCAGATGTTCGGATGGTCTTCGCCGCCAAAATGTATCCAAACGTTTTCCGAAGTTCGAGATGTCTGCAACGTTGGACTTGAACATTGTAAAAGCATTGCCCTGCAACTGTTCCAAATATTGATGATTGTAACCTACGGGTCGTTTGCGCCCCCGCAGCCAGTTACAAGCCCAGGCCCAGCCCCGCCGTGAGCATTCAGATTCCTGGCAGGCTGGGAGCCAGAAGCCTGAGTTAGAGGAAAGAGCAACATAAGGGTAAACCTTCGGAGGTCCGCGCGGATTTCTCGGATCTGCGCTGGACCTCCCTCTCTGGCGCGCGGAGCGAGCCAGGGGCGTCGCCGGAAGCGCCGCCGCCAGGGAGGGGGGTGGAGCGCCCACCCAAGACATCTGCGCGGAGCTCCAGAAATTTTACGCAAATGCCGCGCTTCCTTCTTCCGCCCTGGCAGCGCCGGCCGCTGGCCGCTAGCCGCGGTGCGCGCCGGGCGGGGCGGCACCGAAGCTGTGGAACGCGCCCGCCAACTGCCCCAGCTGGCCCATGAGGGACAGCACCTCGGCCATGTCGGGCTCCGGCTCGGAGCCCGGCGTGGCCTCCCCGCCCGCCGGCGGGCGCGGCTCGGCCGCCGGGGCCTGGCCGCAGGCGCCGCGGGCCTCCGCGGCCTGCTCGTGGCGCCGGGCGAAGTCCCGCAGCCGGTGCAGCTCGGCCTGCAGGTCGCCGCCGAGCTCCTCCTCGCCTGGGCCACCGTGGAAGCTGGCCAGCTCCGCCGCCAAGCTCGGCCGCTTGTGGCCTGGAGAGCAACAGAAGCAGCAGAAGCATCCAGTTTCTGGGCTCCGCACGGACTCCTTGGATCGGCGCTCGGCCACCGCCCCCCATCCATGGCGACGCCGGAGGCGCCGCCCCTGGCGCGCTCCGCGCGCCAGGGAGGGAGGTCCAACGCAGATCCAAGAGATCCGCACGGACCTCCGAAAGTTTTGCTTCTGCCGTTTACCCTTCCCCGATAGCCGCTGCCGCGAGCGGTCTCCGCGGCGGCCTGGGGCGGACCCCAGGAGGAGAATGCCTCGACGTCCTGCTCCAAGCTGGAAATCCTCGAGAGCCTGGTCGCTGACCTCTCCCTCTCGTGCTGCAGGGCGGCGCGCAGCTCCGAGTTCTCGGCCAGGGCTTGCTGGTACTGCGCGACGCAGCCCTCCGCCTCCCGCAGCTTCCACTCGCCCTCCGCCAGCTCCTCGCGCAGCCTGCGCACCTCCTCGGCCTCGAGCGGCTCATGCCCCGGCACCTCCTCGCCGTCGCCGGCGGCCATGCTGGGGCTGCACGGGCTGGCCGGGGTGCCGCACGAGCTCGGCGGCACCCGCGCGCCGGGGCTGCGCGATGCGCGGCCGAACGGCGACAGGGCCGACCGGCGGCTGTCGGGCGTCAGGTTCCAGACGGAGCTCTCCACGGGGCAGCGCACGACGAGGAGGCCCTGCCCGCCCACGGTCAGCACGAGCTCGCGGCACTCCCCGCCGTCCTGCCTCTGCTCGTGGAGGACGATGCGCGGAGGCTCGATCCTCCACGTGTAGACGGCCGACCCGAGCATCGCCTCCGAGCGTGCCGTCTTCGAGCGAAGATGGAGGGACGACTCGTGCACTCTCCAGCCGTTCTCCGAGAACTCAACACAGGCGCCGCCGTAAAATTCGCCCGCGTCGTCTTTCCAGAAGCCCTGGACTTGACGCAACAGGTCGACCCTCCAGGAGCCCTGTACTTCCAGGAGCTCCTCTCTCAGGCTCTGCGTCTCCACAGCGTAGCTCTGCAGCTGCCGCTGCAAGCCCCGCACCGTATCGTGAAGCTCCTCGTTGTCCAGCATCAGCGCCTCCGTCTGATGCCCTCTCCTCTCGGACTCCACGGAGAAGCGGCTGCTCAACATGATCATCGAATACGCGAGCCCCTTGGGGCCACGGGCACGTAAGAAATCTCCCTTCCCAAGCACTCACCCAAGAAAGGGCGCGAAGCTAATTTCGCCGTTGGAGGGGTAGGAAGAGTGCTGGAGAGGGGCAGGAAAGCGTGGGAATCCTGGGCCATGTACATATAAGACGGGACGATGACGGGGAAAGAGGACGCAAACATACCGCCAGCATGGCCCAGGGAGGCCGCCAATAAGGCCCATCCCACGGATCCCTAGAAGCGCACAGAAAACCCCAAGCGAGGCACCAAGGGGGCCGAAGAAGTGCCAAACTAAAACACAAACAGCGTCTGTCAGCGTGGGCCACACACAAGAAGTTTGTGCGCTCTGGATACGGAAGCTGCGTGGTGCAAGCCACGCAATGCATCCACATTGTGAAAGCTGTGTGGCGCGAGCTGTGTGGTGCACTCCATGTGTTTCAAGCTCTGCGATGCCAACTGTATGGTGCAGGGTATGTGGTCAAAGCTATGCGGCGTAAGCCATGTGATCAAGCTGTATGGTGCGAATTTTGTAGGGAAAGAAATGCGATGCAAACGATGCTGTGCTACATTCCCACAAACAATGTTTGCAATACGTGTTACCACCTCTCTTCTAAGGAGCCAGGCCTGGCTGGCGGTCTGGCGGCTCCGTGCTCGCCGTCGCCGCACCGTCGCCGCCTCGTCGCCGCCCGTCGTCTGGGCCTAGCTGGCGGTCTGGTGATTTCGTGCACGCCGTCGCCGCCACGTCGCCGCCTCGTCGCCGCCCGTCGTCTCGGCCTGGGTGGCAGTCTGGCGGCTATGCGTTCGCCGTCGCCGCCCTGTCCCCGCCTCGGCACCACAACAAGGACTGCACCACATAGATCACACCACAGAGTTTGCACCACACCGATTGCACCGCATCGAATCATTTTTCCAAAGAATGAACTATCCCCCCCACGCCGGTCTCATCGGTCCGGCTTCTCCTATGACGAATCAAATATGAGTCTGACCCCTCGTCCATCCCACATACGACGTCAGACCATCCCCATCCAGCCAATGTGTGTCCCCCTCGGTTTCCTGTCAAACAATGAAAATGCGACCCGTTGGTAACAAATCAAGGGTGCTCAAGAATCCCTTACAAACAAAAGGACGAAGCGCACACGCGCGCGTCGTCGCGCGCACCCTCCCAAACTTTTCCAAAACTCGACGTTTCGCAAAGATTTCAAATTCGAGTGCCCCGATAACATATGAAAGAACGTGGCTTTGCACCAACAGCTGTTGTATAACAGAAATTTGCGAGCTCTCCAGACAAATCCCAAGTTTTCATCATTGTCATGAAAATCGGTCCAACGGGCCTTTCGCGCCGCATGCCGACATCATTCGAATGTGTTTTGTTTTTGCGCGCGTGTTGGAGGGCACGATCCGTGCCAAACAATACCATGCGGGCCATTTTCGCGCGTCGGCCGCGCGCGCATGTCGACCTCCATCCGAAACCTCCATCACCGACGCGAAGACGCCGTCATCGTCGCCGACGTGAGCAGCATCGGCGCCGTCACTGGCCGTGCCGCCGCCGATGTCATCATCGTCATCGGCGTCGCTACGATCATCATCGTGTTTACCGTTGTCGACGTTGCCATGATACCGCGCCTGCCCCTGTGGCCGATTCGCACTGAGTGTCCGCTTGGAAATGCTCAGAGGTCAGCGCCACCGCGGCCGCGTCGGTCGCGCCGCACTAGCTGGCCGCTGCGCGCGCGAGCATGCGCGGGCGAGCGCGGCCGCAGAGATGCACCATCCAACACCAAGCACTCATCGCAATCGCCGCCGCATGCGTTTCGCAAAACAACTTGCGGGTGGGTGGGTCGGATGGTTGCGCGATCAGTGGAGTTGAAATCTTCAACTTCGGCAGGGTGTCTCCTTCCTAAATAACCGTGATAAGTTCGACCCCCTTTCCCGATGCCGGAATTGACGACTCCCCCCTCGCGATATGCAATGCGCATGCGATTCTGACAATTTGTCCACTTTACAGCTGCGCTCATACCGTCCCATCCCAGCCGGTATCCACCCTTCCCCCATCATCCTTTTGCAAAACATCTATGCGCGCGCACTCGTGCATCACAAATCATCAGTTCTCAAGAATCCCGTGCAAAAATGCAACGAAGTGCACACGCGCGCGCCGCGCATGCCGAAATCCTTCACAAGCCTAAGGTTTCGCAAGGATTTCCAAATCGAGCGTCACCAAAAAGTTCTAATACAAGTTGCGCTCGAGGTCTTACGAGTTCGAAAGAAAACCATAGATGTTCCACATGTCCATGACATGTTTTTGAATTGGCCTCTCGCGCGCGCGTCGGAATCGTTCGAATTTCCTTGAGCGCGTGCTGTAGCAAGAACCTCTTCGGAAAATTGGACGAAGGGCACGCGCGCGTCGTCGCGCGCGCATGCCGAAATCCTTGAAGAACCGCCGGTCCCGTAAGGACTTCAAAATCGAGCGTCACGGCAACAAATAAACACAGATGGCTTTGCAACATCCGTTTTCAAACAAAAATCCTGCGCTCGCGCTTTTGCGGGTTTTTCAAAACATCGGTATTCCTACGTGTTCACCAAAGTCGGCCAAACGGGCCTCTCGCGCCGCATGTCAAACTCATTCGAACGCCCTTGCGCGCGCGCGCTGGGGGTGGGCACGATCCTTGTCAAATAATACCACGCGGGACACTCGCGCGCGTCGGCAGCACGAGCATGTCGAACTCCTTCTACGACCCTCATCGCCGACGCGAGGACATCGTCATCGTTCTCGGCGGGTAAGATCAAGATCGGCGCCGTCAGTGGCCTTGCCGTCGTCACCGCCACGATCATCGTCACCATCATCACTACTTTGATACTCGTGTCTACCGTTGTTGGCGTCGCCATGATACCGCGCCCACCCAAGTCACCGATTCGCATTGAAGTGCCAGCTGGGAACTGCCCAGCGGTCAGCGCCACCGCGGCCGCGTCGGTCGCTGTGCGCGCGAGCATGCGCGGGCGAGCGCCGCCGCAGCGATGCGCCAGCAAGCACTCATCGCAATCGCCGCCGCATGTAATTTGCAAAACAAATTGCGGGTGGGTGGGTGGGATGGTCGCAAGAACATGGAATGTGTGAACCCGCGTGAAAAAAAACAATTGTACGCACATCCGCTCGTTTTTTCAAAACCCATCACTGCTCAAGAACACCGTGCAAAAATGAGACGAAGTGCGCACGCGCGCGTCAAAGCGCGCGCAAGCCAGAATCCGTCTAAAACCTTAGGTGCCGCATGGATTTCAAAACCGAATGTCCCGAACACATGTTAAAACAATGGGCCTGCTAACGGATGTTTGTAAGGGCCCGCGCCCTTGCGAATTCTTACGAAAACCATCGGTGCTTCGACTTGTCTCTCCAATGCTACCAAACGTGCCTATCGCGCGAGCGTATTGGAATCATTCGCACGCCCTTGCGCGGGTGATGCCGCAAGAACCCCGTGCGGAAAAGGGACGAAGTGCACGCAGTCGCGCACGCATGCCGAAATCCTTCAAAAGCCTTGGGCTTCGCAAGGATTTCAGCATTGAGTGTCCCGAACACATATAAACACACAACTGTTTTGCAAAAAGAATGTTCCAACGAACCTGCGCCCGCGCGTGATCAGCATCGGCACCGTCATTGGCCTTGCCGCCATCATGGTCACCATCGCCACCGGCATCGCTACTATCATCATCGTGTCTGCCATTGTCGCGCACACCCAAGTCACGTCTGCAAGCCGCGCGTCCGCCCGGATTGCGAGACGTGCTGGGAACCCCCCAGCGGACAGCGCCACCGCGGCAGCGTCCGTCGCGTAAGACCAGCTGGGCGGTCCGCACGCGAGCCTGCGTGCGCCGGCGCGGCCGCAGCGATGCACCGGCTAGCGCCAATCAGTAGTGGCAATCGACCCCGCATGGGTTCTGCAAACCGCGTTGCGGGTGGGTAGGTGGGATGATTGCGCGAGCAGTGGCGTTGACAACTCACTGCGAACAAAAAAATGTTGCACCACGTGGATTGCACCGCAGCGTTTGCACCACGAAGATTGCACAACATTGATTGCACAACATGGATTGCGCCACATAGATGGCACAACGTAGATCGCAGAACATAGAGTGAACAACCTAGATGGCACGACATAAATCACATGACTGATTGCACAACATGCATTGCTAGACACACAATGTGTTGGGTCCTCGCTTGCTGGAATAGAATGAGCGTAATGTAAACGTGGTGGAAGCTATGTAGCGTAAGCTATACGGTATAGAGTGTGTGGTGTAGCAATACTATGAAGTGTATGTGGTGTAAGCTATGGGCTATGCTGCACCCTGCGTCTTGCAAAACATGTGGTGCGATATCTATGTATATATACATACATACATACATACATACATACATCCATCCATCCATCCATCCATCCATCCATCCATCCATACATACATACATACATACATACATACATACATACATACATACATATGGTGTAAGCTCTACAGGGCTGGCTATGCGGTGCCAGCTGCATGCTGCAATCTACGAGGTGCAACCTACACGGTGGCGCCATAATATGTGACTTGTGTCTTGCACTCGAAGGCTTCGTTCGCGCACGAGGCGCCATCGAAGACGCCCGCGGGCCCCGCCTGGTCACAACCCCGAACTCCCAGCCATCACGAGGCGCCCACGAGGCGACCACGGGAAGCCCACCAGGCAGCGGCCGCGGGCGCCCGCCGGGCGAGAGCGCGTAACTCCCAGCCGATCTCGCACCACAGCAGTAAGATCTCTCTCCCTCGCAAGACAGCTGTACACCATTTGGAGCACCAAGCGTCGGCGAGGCTATGCTTGAGGCAGCTCGCGCACAGACGATCGGGAAGAGAAAGGAAGAGGAGGAGGACTACAGAAGTCAGAGCCCCTGGGTGCGAGCACCATTGGGGGAAACCGTCTGTTGATTACTTGGGCGGTGCAGGCTCTGCTTCAAGGGACCCCAACCATGAGGC